ATTTATGTGCATGTGGCCAAGAGCTTCTAGTCCAAAACCTCTCGCTCCAGTCTTGCATTTGTGTGCTGCAAGGCGACCTCGCTGTGCTCTCGCCGGGCTTGCCAGAGCGAGCGGCACCCGCAACGGGGCAATGCTCCACCGAGAGCAGCATAATTACGGGTTGCAAGCTGGGTTGCTTTTATAATCGGCAAAGATGATACGTGGCTGATAACGCGCTGCTTTCCTCGGCGTTTGCTTTATCTAGGTCATGCTTTTTCTCCTCCTTTTTTCGCTCTTAATCTACATGAATTTTTAATTGCATCTTTCATGTTGATCTCTTCAGTGAGTCTAGCCTGAGAAGGCCCTTCCTGCTGTTGCCACGTGCAACATCTCAACCCTTTCTGAACACGCAGGAAGGGAAAATAAGCATCAAGGCCAGGTTCAGGGACTGCTCACAGCCAAGCTCACCTGTCGCAAGCATCACGCACGCTCTCCTGTCAGCTTTTGGGAGCAGGAGCAATTCTCTTAATGAGCAAGCCGAATTTGCAGGGCTAGTTGGCATTTGCTGCGGTTCACGTCCCGGTTCTCTCCTTAGGCGCAGGGCCACCCTCAAAGGTCTGGTTTAGCAGGCAAGCTTGAACCCCAGAGGCACTAATCCTGCACTGGGGTAAATATTAATGCGGATCTCATCTTGTCGAGAGAGGGAGAAGAGAACGAGCACTTCTCGCTCTACCTGTCGCCGCTTAAAAACACAGGAAGCGGCCAAAGGTGAGCGCTTTTCATGGTTGAAGAGAGGTGACCGTCAGTGCAGAATTGCACATAAATATTTCAGTGGACGTCTTGGCAGCCCAGGTCACATTTCACCAGGATGCTCCAAAATGCATCATGCCGAGCAAACACCAAAACCCAACAGAAAAGCAATGCCCAAAAGCAAACCCCAAGAAATGCAATGCCTCCAAGAAATTGCCTGCCCTCGTTAACACCGTGGCCTCACCCCATCCCTGCGTATGTCCCGTTTCCTGATGTAGCCCAGAGTGAGAGATTTGCCCAGCCCAGCCACTGGCATGTGCTGTCCCGCAGTCCCGAAGCAACTTGCTATTTCCCTCTGTTTTCACCCACGTGCATCTACCTGCGATGCTGCTCCTAACTCAGCTCTCCTGCCCGAGCAGGTAACCCTGGCGTTGCTATCCCCTCATGCCTAGGCGCAACCCAAGCATCCGCAGGACAAAACTCTATATTATAAAGTCTTTTCATCTCCTCTATCTGCAATTCTAGGAGCACTTAAGTACAGGTCCTGGAAAGTGCCRCTCTATTATGAAGTGTTTTGCTACCCAAAGAGTTATTTTGCCCGGGCTTCCCGTCGCCGTGACTTAGCCAGCGGCCTTTGATGTGGAGCCTCTCCAGCAGCTCCTGGAAAATGGGATAAATGGAAGCCACCAAGCCTCCTTTGGGAATCCCGGTAATTACAACTTCAGAAAACTCCCAGACACGCTCCCAGCTCATTATTGTGCTGGTCGTGGTGTTCTCTGAACCCCATTGTGGCCAGGCAACACCTCCTTTTCCTTGGTGCTCCTCTGAAATGCAGGTATCTTCTCGCCCAGGCTGCAAGTCACAGCGAAGGGATGAGGAGGTGGAAAAAGGTCCAACAAGGGGCGAGTGACTTCAGAGCAGCAGCGTAGCCAGCTACGTGCAGCTTAAAGCAGCTCCCTGGGATGGTGGTGCATGTGTGAGCTCACCCGAGAGCGAGCCAAGCAAGCTTTCCAGCTCGTGCTTGCAGCAGGGGCAGGAAGCCTGCTTGTGCTTACTGATTTCTTCTTGCTTGAGCTAAAGATGCACAAAATAATAATAAAAAAAGCCATCGTACTTTTTMAAAGGGATTAGACATGGTTCCTAAAATACTTCGTGGTGCATARTATGATGGGGATGAATCAGTGCGGCGCCGCGAAGGGGAATCCAGGCTGCAGGGACTCACTGGGGATTTGGGATTCAAGCATGCGAGGAGGAGGAGGACTGGCAGATGGCTTGGTAGAGTTACTCTGGGACACCGGTAAGGGATGGAGGAAAGAAATAGAGACTACAGCACCACCACTAGAAATAGGTGAGAACCGCTGGGGACTTCTCTGGGGGAAAGCACGCTTCTTTTGACAGGCGTTACCAGGTTGAAAACACAATTTTCCATCTAAAAAAAGAAAAAGCAAAGAAATCCAGCTAGCTCTAGCTATGCCATCAAAGCTGGAGATTAAGCTACTCAATGTCCAWGCATTCGAGACAGTATAACTCACTGATTAACCACTTAAAGATGAAAGGAGAGAGCAAAAACCATCATCGAGCGCGGCAAGAACTGTGCCTGCAAACCAACACAACTCGGCTCAGGTTCGTGGCAGGCACTGTCACGCCTGTGCTCACATCTCAGGTTTTACTGAACAGTATTTCGGAAGGCAGTAGTTTGGACAATGCTGAGGTCTGCTTTAGACCAAGGCTGTAGGAGAAGGAAGACACAAAACACTATTGCAAACACTCACTATAAAGCTTGGAGGCACATACTCCATGTGTAGTGTGTGCARTTCTTGCAGTAATAGTAGAGTAATAGGGGGAAAAAAAAAAAAGAAACATATAAAGACAATTCCTAAACTCATCAGATTTGCAGGCAAAATATACCTGGCAGAACAGGAAAAAAAAAAAAAAAAAGTAAAAAAAAAGAAAAAAAATCCACTCTGCCTAGTTCTCATGTACAGAAGTAGCTGCCCCAAGCCAGAGCACGGTAGCATTTCAAGGAAGCAGGTTGGTCGATTGACTTTGGGCTTTGCAAGCCGTTATGGTCCATTGAAGCTTAATACCACACCTGAGGGCTCTGGTCGCACGTACCCTAAGGCTGTGCCTCAGATGATTATCCCTTGACAGCAAAATCTTCATCCCTYTTGGCTCCACTGAGTGGACCCGGGGGTGAAACTCCTGCAACTTCAAGGAAGAAACTAGCTATTTACGGCCTTGGATTGGGCAAGGCATTCCACTCGGGAAAGGTTATTGTGGAGTCATCCAGCACAGAGCAGCTGGGCTGCTGGCCGTGCAGAGACCCTGTCCTCAAGGGGCCACCGGCCCCTTGCAGGTGGGAATTTGTATACTTCTAAGATCAAGCAAAAGGAGGCCAGCTAAGTGGGAAAAAAAGAAAGAAAAAGGAAGAAGTAAGACTCCAAAGCACTGTGGAGAACACATTCCCACGAAAGCAGCATTTCCCAGTAGAAAACCTGCAGGTGGGAAAATACAGGTAGAAGCATCGCAGCTTGTGATCCCTCTATCTCACGGATTCAACCACAGCTCCACTGCTTTGAAGGTGGACTATGGGAGACGAGCACCATAGGAAGAATGATTATAAGCCAGGAAGAGTTTCCTTTTTCCTTAAAAATCACTTGTGAATATTTTTTTTAATGGTGTTTTGGCAATGGGCAAAATTTGGCCAGTGGAAGAAACAATTTAGGTGGTTGAGGGTTTTTTTTGTCTTCTGATCAATTTGCCCAGCTAGCCGACACATTCCAGAAGAGTGGGGGGAAAACATTAAAGGGTTTTCATTCCCATCCTCTGGTTTTATTGCATGCAAACATCCACGGTCGTTTCTTTCCAAGCTTTCCAATTTGCTAATTGAGACGTTTCCTCATTGAAAAAGAATGTTCTGAACTAAAAATTGGCCTACTGGCTACAGACTAATAGGAAAGGAAAAATAGGGAGAGCTTAGGTGAAGCAAAATTTAAGGATGAAACTGTCAGGTCAAGGTTTCAAGATACAGCAGTCACATACCAGCAACCACACATCCTGTGCTTTCTATGCAAGCCTTTCCATGCACTGCAAGTGGCAGTTTCTACCACCATCAGAACTTTTACAGACGATTTTTTTTAAACAATCATCTAGTCTGCACATAAGAAAAAGTCAGTATTTTTGTTAGATTGATAGAAATATTTCCTCTGCCCTCAAAAAAAAAAAAAAAAAAAAAAAAAAAACAATGCGAGAGCAGACAAATCGATTTTTGTCAAAGGCATTAACAAGACAAAGAGCCAAGAAAAGCACTTTTGGGCCAGAACAAGCCCAGAAGATTAAGGGTGAACAAAACCCATGAAGAAGAAGTTGGAAACATATTATAAAGGTTATAATGCGCAACCACAGTTACAGTCATACTAGCATTTGCTCTAATGGGACCAGCTATATTTTTTTCAATATTAAGGAAGAAAATAAATTGAAATTGTTTTGCAGATTCACGTGGAATGCACAGGGGATGGAGAGGGATTTCTAGCTTTATATAGGTCAAATATCAGCCATGCGGGTTCACACAATATCCAGTACAAGCACAAGCGCTGCATAAAAATTAAGCTTCAACATACTCCAGGGGGATCTCTAGAGGCTTGATCTTGCCAACCTGAAGAGCATCAGAACAGTAATTCAGCTCGGATCAATATGTGCTATGTACTCAAGTGAAGGGGGCTGGAAAATGACTGCCCATTTCTGCTGCTTCATTGCAACATTAAGGCTCTGGTAGAGAAGAGGTTCTCCACAGACAGCGGCCAAGGACAGTGGTTCAAACTTCGCTGCAACGACACAAACGAGACCCAGCTCACCCTGCTGGTACCCAAGCGAGCCAACAAAGTGCCCCACAGTTCATGGCTTTTTGGGTTTCAGAGAGYTTGCTCAGCTTAAGTGAGAGATGCTGCTTGGGACATCTGGAAGCAATTCCTGCTCTGAAACTACTCCATCAGCCAACAGCAGTTCCTACAAAAGAAAGCTCCTGGGCACTTTGCCCTCGCTCACAGCCCAAGGGCTTATTGCACCACTCCCATCTGACTACTTCACGCTCCACCTTGCCGTAGGGCTGGGACACATGGAAACAGGAGCAGGACATGAGGCTACGAGTCCTTCCCAGCCCCACATGGCCACCTTCATGCTTGGAGCCTCAAGCTTTGATCAAGCTGGGGAGCAGCAAAGGCTCCACCGTGGACACCACAGTCCCCAAGAACCTGAAAGCCCTCTGAGCTTACCTTGAGCTTCTCAAACCGGTCGCTGAGCGATGCCACTTGGTGGTCCCGGTGGCGGCCCACCAGTTTGCATAAGGCACAAATGAGTTGGTCGTCGGCCACACAGTACATGTTCACTTTCTCGTTCTCGTGCTCCAGGCAAGTGAGTCCGCGGAAGTGCGCGTCGGGCACGGGCTCCACCAGCCGGTGGCTGGTGAACGGCTTCTTGTTGGGGTGCGTGGCCCGGAGGCAGCGGTCGCAGTAGGACACCTCGCAGGTGATGCACGTCTTCACCGCGTCCCGGGGTGGGTCCTGCTCGCAGAACTGGCAGGCGATCCGTTCACCGGCCATGGTCGGGCTCTGGCGGTACGGCCGCTCCCGTCGGCTCTCGTTGGGGGAGTTGGGGCCGCTCAGGGATGCCTTCTGGAAGCGGTCAATGATGTTCTGCAGGGTCACGTTGCGCTTGAGGCCCTCCAGGCCGCGGTGGTTGAGGGAGATGACATAGCGGCACGTGGGGCACTGGAAGGCGGCGATGGGCTCGATGGACTCGCTGGAGGAGCAGCTGGACACCAGGATACGATGGGCGCAACTGAAGCAGAGGCTGTGAGCGCACGGCAGCAAGAGAGGGTCTTCAAACAACTCCAGGCAGATTGGGCAGGTCAATTCTGACTCCAGTGTTTCCATTTTTAGTTAAAACGAGCCTGATTCTGCATGGAAATCCAAGGAAGCTGGCCAGTTACCTGCGAGGAAGGAGAACAGAAAGGAGCAGCGTGAGAAAGGGGTTATCGTGGCCAGCAAAACCAAACCTTGGRGACTCCTCTCCAGCAGGAGCCCGCAGGCAGGATGGGTTTGAGGACACCCAGTCCGTAAGACCCTTGGGTTCCATGCACCCTGATCCAACAAAGCCTCTCCCTTGCCTTTGCTAATGTGCAGGGGAAAGACCAATGGAGTCTGGGATGTCTTCGGCAAGCAGAGCTTCTACCAGCCTATTTCTTTTAGGAGGAGGGTGAGGAAGGACAGAGAGCAAAATYACAGCCTGCAAAGTCCTGTCTCCGCGCTGCCCTGCCTTGCACTCAGTGGAAAAAAAAAAAAAAAGAACCAAAACAGGGATGCCTAAATCGACTTCAGCTGCAGGAAAACAAGGTCGTATTTTTAGATCCTGGGCGTTCGCATGTCATAACATCCCTGCATTTCAAGCTGCCCCTTCACTAGGGTTCTCCCTTGCAGGGCTGAGCATCCATCTCTCTCCTTGCAGAGCATCCACAAGTGCAAACACTAGTGCTACCCAAGCGAACCCAGCAGCTCCCACCTCCCCGATTTGGCTCTGTTGGACCAACAAGCAAAATTACTGTCTTAAGAGCATACAAAAAATATATATAATTAACCAAAACAGSACTTTTTTTTTTAGAGTCTCAAGGATATCATTTGAAAATTAAGGACCACAACAGGACATTTCCAGTGACTTCTGTAGGGAGCTGCAATCAAAGCTGGATCCCAGCAAAGTGACTGCAGGTGCACCGGTTAGGACGCAGTTGCCCGTGTCTTGCTCATGGCTAGACCCATCTACTACAGGCTGGATGGAGTTTACATCCTCCTCCAGAGCACCTGCTGGAGAGGCCATCTGAGGGAGCCCGGGGGAGAACAGAAAAAAAATAATAATAATAACAAAAAAGGAGCATAAAGTTCAGAGAGATTTTGTTCATGCTGGCCATTCTTATGTTAATCTTGTTTTCCTCACCTCTGMAGCACCCCTTAGATCCGAGATAAATGGAAGGAGCCTCAGAAACAGAGACAAGGGCCGTGGAACAGGACGCTCTTCCAGGGATGCACCTGGCTAAAGCAGTTGGCACTGCCTCCAAAGCCATTCACGCCTCTCCCTTTGATGTTTACTTTGATGCACCATGATTGATGTGGCACAAGGAAGCGCCGATTAGATTAAAATCGACTTTGTTTGGATTAATTAACTCCCCMAAAATATAAAAAGTATCTAACGCATGCAGACAACCCAACCTCATTTGGCTACAAAGATTCCCATCATCGGGGTCATAGGGTTGGCTGGTCAYGCACACCCCAGCTCCGAGAGAAGCCAGTTGTGGTCCAGGAGCACAACTACAGGAGATTCAGGCCCTCTGCTTCCACCTGCATCCCTACATCTGGTAGGATTCTACATCCACAATCACTCCTGCCCCATCAAGAGCCTCTCCAAAGCACTGGTCAACACAGCTATTCCCCAGACCAGCAAGCTAGGAAGGCTGGCTTCTACAGGATGTAATTCCTGGTGTCCTCCATCATGCAACTGTGGGCCCCCCATCCCCTCCCCCCATAAATAAATATTTAAAAAAATTACTACTCAGCACCGTGCTGGCCCTATTTGCCCTTGGAGCAGGTCTCTCCCACGTACAGCACGGAGCACGTGCCCTACGAGTAAAAATAGCGCACGGCCGTGTAATTAGCTCCGCTTCCTACCTAATGCAGATGCTCAAGGGAGAAGAGGAGGGGAGGCAATCAAGCTCCCGCAGCCAATTTAGACCTAGCGGTGCCTAATCTCTATCAAGGCTGCGAGGCAACTGCATCAACTCACGCACGTACGTGGCCGCCAGGWATATTTAATGTGACATTTCCAGCTTTCAAGCCCCCCAACAGAGAGGAGCAACCTTTGGCTGGACCAATGAGACCCGGCAGTTTCCACAGTGGTTCAGGGAATTTATTGGAGGTGCTGGGGAAGGCCAAATAATTTATCTCCCCCCCAAACTCTTTATTGCAATACAAACCCTCTTAAACTGGGTTTCCTGCTCCAAAAGTCATGCTTGATTATCCTTAATCTCTTGCTTCGAAACGTGGGCATTTCCACATGCCCATGCAATTTTTTCAGGCAGGCTCTCCCCAACGCTTCTCCCTTGCTGCTGCTAAACGGTTTCCATCGCTTTAAAGGGCCAATAGTGCTGCTGCAGCTGGACAGAAATCGGTGCATTAAGCCATTTGTCGACACGATGAAATGAAACCTTTCCGTCGACCACAATCTTCCATGCAAAATGAAGAGCAAAGCTGCTCTGCATTGGGAAATTGCCTACGGGACAGGCTCGTGTCTACAGTATTTTTTTGTTTCTTTGGCCTCCTGCTGAACCACCTGCTCCTAACATCATATTTGCCTGGCCCCATCGGACTAAAGTGCATAGGGATGCAAAAGGCAAAACTGCAATTTCTTCTTGAGGTTTCCCACTTTTCACGGAGCTTCTCGAGGCATCCAGAATCTCAAAGGCTGTTGTGCCGATTTGTGGAAGTTTAAATATATCTGCAGAGGCTCCCCAGCTCAATAGGCAAGATAAACAGTGCTTCCTGCGGGAAGTGCAGACAATAGGGATAACGAGCGCTAATCCCTGTGGCATGAACCGCCTGGCGAGCGGATATTCTGGAATTGCACCATCACCCTTCACCAGTGCAGGAAGAGGCACCGGGACTGGCGCAGCCTGGTCCAGCAGCCACAACTCACTAGAAGTATCGAGCATGTAAAAGAGAAAGCCCAGGCTGAGCCAACAAGCAAGAAAGAGGCCCAGGGCACATGTATCTCAAGCCTCCCTTTTGCAAAAAGGGGCTCCCAGCAAAGGATGCAACTCAGCTGCAGACTCCATTTCCCCTCCATTATTAGTACAAATATATATATTACAAATATTATATTACAAATATATATAATAATAAAATCACACACAGAGGCCACTTGAAGCCWTCTGAGGTGGATTTCCCAGGCACTGCAAGGTGACCCAGAAACATCTGCATTCCTTTAGAGACGGCTCTCTCCGACCTGAAATCACTTCTAAGCATAAGCACTTTTTACCCTTAATCTTCCCCAAAAGAAGCAATTCAATTCAAGCAGCTTTTCCTCTGCTGTATTCCCAGCAAAACAAGATTATTTTTTTCCAATTGTTTTGGCGCTGCTCCACCGGCACATGTGGAACCTGGCCAGGCGCCTGCCCTAAATACCCTCCTCAGGGTCATCTTGCAGCTGGGGGGCATCTTCTCACGACGTCACCGAGGGCATAGATTCCCAGTGGAAAGCTCATGGCATATCCAATCCATGGCACATCCAATCCGGGGAGCACGCAGCGCACTGGAGATGCGGCCAGCTGTGCTCTGCAGTGATGCCAACCCTGCCAAGATGACCATTGCAACACCAATATTGGTCTCGCTGCAAGGACCAATCCAGATCACCTCCCCGCTGCTGGAAAGCTATCTCTGGTGGATGGTTATTCCTCAGARGAAAAAAAAGGATTCGAAAAGGGACAAAATATTCCAGCCCTGAGAACAGCAAATGTGTAACACACATGGAGGGGCATAAGGCCACAAGGGCAACAGCAGTCAAAAAAGGGACCTTTRATGACAAGAAGAAGTCGGGCTCCCAGCTTTAAAGCCCAGTGAGGAAAGCAGTGGCCAATGTGATGTTTTYCCTCACAAAATATTTCAAGTTTCTCACTATTTGTGGCTCCTCACAGCTGGAACGTGCACAGCCCAATGCAGCAACTCAGCATCCCTCCAGGATGCAGGAAGCCACAATGTTCAGCTCAGGAGCTGCTGCCGCACAGGAATAACCTGCCGGCACGTGCAAAAAGATTTGCCRATCCCTCTGCCATGGTCRTCTTAGCAGGAGAGATAGGTGCTAYGGCTGAACCTTGTTTTTCAAGGTTTTATTTGGTGCATTTTGTGCTCTTTCCGCAAATGTTCAGAGAACCAGCACCTCCGGCATCTTCACTTCACTGGAGGGACAGCAGAGACTGTAGATAGGACACAGTGCAGGATGTAGCCCTGGTCCAGCACAGAAGCAGCTGCCAGAAGGCTGGCAGAGCACCAGGAGATGTCCAAGGAGGACACCAAATCCTTGGGAGAAGGAGGGACAGAATGCTAAGATGTCAATGCTCCAGCCTGCATGGATCTGGGAGGCATCAACAGCAAGGAGAGCAGCCATGGAAGCGTTAAGGAGAGAGGAGGGAGAGGAAAAAAAGAGGTAGGGAGAAAATAGCAGGGACCGAAGATGCCAAGAGAGARGGGAAGAGGAACTGGAAGGGCTCTSTGCAGCACATCATCTAATCTGAGGTGGCTCTGGCTGTGACGGAGAGGAAGGGAGAGCATCAGAAGGGCAGGGGATACCGGCGGGTGAAGGGAAGAAGGGGCTTAGGAGAAGGCCAGGCATGGTCAAGGGGTCAGATGGCTCTCACCCTGTGCACGGGCCACMGTGGAAAATGAACAAGCCAAGGCAGAAAGCAAAAGCGTACGGCCAGGTTGATCCGTTGTACAACTGAGCACCTACCGCCTTTCTGCAAAGCGGAGCTCAGTCCTCCTCTCTTAGCAGGCGTGCAAAAAGCTTCCGGCGTCACCCTGCGAGAGACGGAGCCACCGGCAGCCTGGGCAAACGGCCAAGCAAAAYCCCAGCTCCTTTCTGGGAGGGAAAGAAAAACAGCCCAGGCAGACGGAGGCATCGCTGCGGAGAGCTGAGGCCACGTCCCGACACGCTGCAGCCGCACTGCGATGTGGAGCCCTGATTCCACCCAGCACGCGCCGATTTGCCAAACAAATGCCACCACTGCCCACRATCGGGATCTTGGAAGTGCCAAGGAGACGCAGCAGCGGATTCTGTGCCAGGTCCAGCACTTATTCCTTGGTGCTCCAGCTCCTTGCACAAATGTTTCTGCCGCAGGGAAACACCTGCTGCTTCAGCCCATCTGACTCTGGAGCAAACCCGGAGACAGGGAAATTCTTTGCCGTGCCCTTTATGGGAGCCTGAGAGGGTCACAGATTCATCCCAATGACAGAATGCTCCAAGCTGCTTTCCCAGGACATCATTCCTTCTGGGAACRCCTGCGGGGACATACCTGCCTCCAAGCACCCACCCGCATCGGTGCCACCTCAAACCCTTTTGTGGGGCCTCTGTGAGCTAATTTGTTCCCCGTCACCTCCGAGTCGCCCGTGATGGATGTGGGCCAGCTGCATTTCAGGGATGCACAGGTGCATGCAACTTTCCTCTTCATCCTCCTGCGCAGCTCTGCTAACAGAGCACGTTCATTATGCTGCGCTGAAGCTCTCCAATAGAAAGATCCCTGCTTGCTCTCTGAAGTTAAGATTTATTCCTCCCTCTCTTTCCCTGCTTCAATCAACCACTCAAAAAGGGCTTTGCTTCGGAAAATGAAGCTTCATTTCTAGGCCATTACCCCCGTGCAGTTCATTTGCTGTCCTTGTAAAAGSGAAATAAATACAGAAGCCTAACAATTAATTTCACATAAGCCTAGCAATAAATAATTGCACATTTTGCCCACGCACAGAGCCCTTTCCCTTTGCAAGATGCTGAGTCCCTGCACAGAAAGTGGGCAAGTGTTTGCATTCCTGTGTCCCAGGTACGAGAGGAGCTGGCAAACACACCAGCAAAGCATTTTCTTGCCAAAGCATCTACTGCATTTTCCTGCTTGTCTTTCTGCTCTTAAAGTTTGCAAGCAAAAGATTCAACATCATTTTTCATCCGGGGAGAAAAAGCCCCAGTTCCTCGCCRGGAGCCTTCTGACTGATGGATCTTATGCACGCTACATGGCACCCATGCCCTCTTCCTTCCCAAGCTCCTTGGAAATCCCTCCAGGAAAAGTCAAGAGGGAATCAGGCCGGACCAGCAGCAGCCTTTGCCAAAACCCATCCGCAGGGAAGAGCGGAGGGCCCTTTACCAAGGCAGCTGTTTGCAGCAGGGCACCAAGCACACTCCTCTGCTTGGGAGCATCCCAGCATCTCCGTGCTGGGACAGACGGAGGAAAGGCAGGAACTGGGAGCCTGGGCCGTGGGAGCCAACACAAAAGCCCATTTCCTGTGAGACGGCGGTGCAGACGGACTCACAAAAGGAGCTATTCTGCTGCTGGTCTGGCTAGGAGCCGGGGGAAGGGCAGGCAGCCCCAGCCAGCAAGGGCCCACACTGCGAGGGCCGTGGCGAGCTCTGCAGTGGGCTCCGGAGAGCTTCCAAGGCCAACGGGAGCTGCAGCCTGATGCTTTCCAGTGGGAAAACAGGAAGGCAGGAGGGGAGGCCGGGACCAGGACGCTCCGTCCGTGCCGTGTACGTGAGCCAGCCAGCAGCCCCGACACCCGGCCGAGGTATTGGGATGCCTGCAAAGCCCAGGCTCAGCCCCAAGCTCTAGCAAGGAGAGCAGTTCTGTCCTGCCTCCCCTGTCCGGCCAGGCACACAGTATCTGCTCTCAGAGCCCTTGAAGCCCTGCAGCTTTGCGGAGGCAGAGCCTCCATAGCGGGGACCTACTGGTGCCACCAATTGGGCTGGTTCCACGAAAAAAACAGCAGCAAAGAGCTCTGTTATGGCAATAAAAGTTGACTATAGCCTTCTCTAAGCTTCCATGAGAGCAGCCCCATCACATCCCGAAATATCACATGCACAGCCTTCCCCCCGCCACCGAAGCCGCAGACGGATGAGCAGGGCACAGAGCCGTCTCTCATGGCTCGCAGAGGCTCTCTGCAGCACTGCCACCACCTGCCTGAGCCGCCGCAGCTGCTGCTCCTGCTGCCGCTGTCCGCGCGCTTCCCGCTCACGCGCTCATCCCCCTGCACTGCCTTTTCCCAGCTCATCTCACAGAAGCGGGTTTTGGGGCATAGCCTCTGGGAATGGAGAAYACCGCATAAATGCACCTGCATCCATCCCTTCGGCATCTCCCTTATTTCTTGCCTGTTCAGAGGGTGGGCAGGAAGCAAGCCAAGCCAAGCCAAGCGAGCAGCTCCGCAAGCAATCCCGGTGGCAGCGACGACGGAAACCCCAGCTCGCTGTGTCGTGGTCCCGCGTGCAGCCCAGCAAGCAGCTGGCACCGCTTCCCAAATTCCCGGCATGCCATCCAGCAGTGACCTCACCAGGAAGGCAACACGCCGTCTAGGAACACCGGGCGCCGCGAGCCGCCAGCTTYGGGCTGACTGCTGCAGCTGCCCAAAGAGGGACCTTCTCCTTGAAGCCACTTGCCAACAGCATGGACTCGGCTGAGGATTCAGAGCTTGTTTCGAAGCGGGAGACGGCCTGGGCCAGAGCCATCCCAGCCATTAACATCCCAGCGCGCTGAGACTTGAGAAACCCTCTCCGGGCGCTCTGCAAACTGCTCGCCACCGCTCCGCGGCGTTCCGAACCTCTTAGGCCACGCATGTTAGAGCAATAAAAGAGGCGCATGATCCGGTTTTGGAGGCGAGACACACAAATAAAGGCTGCAAGACGAGAAAACGCGAGTCTCATACATCGCGTGGGCAGATTTCCTAACAGCTTGCCGGATATTCCAGGCCACCAAAACACGCCACGCTTGGGGACTAGCAATAACACCAGGAAGAACGCGCTCAATAAAACACCGTGGCAATACCTGGGACAAGAGAGGGGTGAGCAGGGGGTTTGTGTGGATTGCACACAATCCACGCTTGCTCTGCAAGCTCCCTGCGGGCTCCCCGAGCAGCCGGCATCGCGGGGAACMCGCCGGCTTCTGCGCTCCCATTTCAGGCAAACTTTCGCAGCGGGGAAAGGCCGCGCGCAGGCGGGCGGGCAGCAGCGGCGCCCGCAAACCTTCCCAGGCAGCGGGCTCGGGAAGGCGCCGCGGGGCCGGGAGGACGCGGCGGGGCCGGTCGCTACCTGTAAGAGCGGGTGCCGGGGAAGGCGGGGGATGTTCCGTGGCTAAAGCGGCACCGAGCCCCGTGTCCCCCCCACGCCGCCGCCGCCGCCTCCGGCGCGGCCCCGGGAGCCGCCGGCCGCGCTGCGCCACTCGCTGCC